CTGAGGCCGGAGGCGCAGTGCCCGGCCCACTCCAGGACACGGCAGCCGGCTGGGCGCACGCGCTCTGCAGCCACGCCACCTGCCTCGTGGGCTGCGTGACGAGGAAAGGCCGTATCTCGACTCTGTGCGCAGGCACCACCTAACCCGCTCAGGTGGACGTACAAGGAAATGTTGGTTGGATAAACACGCGTAGCCGTAGCCGCTGCAAAAACAAGCAACACGATGGAGAAAGCGCTGTGATCAAGGCGAGTGCAGAAGACTGCGAGCAGAAAGAACGGCAACGCGATGGGCTTCCAGGTCAGGAAAGACGGGGTCCCGTGGCTGTGCCTCCAGTTAGTTTGAATTCTTCGTGCCATATCTGATTCTTAAAAATGTTTTAACCACTTATGATGAAGATCAAACTCACATAATGTGATGACCATTATTAAATTTTTAAAGTTGAATCTACCAGTGCTGGGCTAAGGCCATAGCTGACACTCTACAAAAATGTAAAGCAAGAGTTTAAAATGTACCAGGAAGCCCATGAAACGAACTTCATCAACCCCATCCTTTCTGAAGCATTGGGGCTGAGAGAGTGCTCTCTGTCTCCGAGCTCACCCGTGAATGCGTCCTGCCTCACTACCCGTACCAAAGCCACCGCCGTGCAGCTCCTTAGGAACAATAGACAGAATGCCACCTGCAGTGAGCCTGAATAGAGCATGTCATTTTTATGTCTCATAGCAATTTTCTTTGCTCAGTTAAAGTTAGTAACCTGGAAATGCATTTTCTACTGCGATCTGTTTATCTCACCATGTATGCTGAAACAAAAGTGATCTGGGAGTCAAGAGACGGTCTACTTTGGATCTGCCACTTCCTGGCTGTGTTACTTCGGGCAAGTTATAACCTTTCTGGGCCTTGGTTCAACATCTGTAAGCCCTACAATATCAAGAGGCATATTCCACAGAGACAGGGCAGAGAAAAGTGGCAATTACTTATAAGCCGTGGAACTAGCAGAAAGGGTGACAAGGGAAAGACTTCACAGAAAGATGACACGAGCCGCAGGTAGAAGAGGTGAAGACTCAGAAACCGCGACGAAATCACAAGTTCCACTCCAGATAAAGAACCATGCAGGTGGGCTCCAGCAGGAACGCCAAGGCCCGGGAGAAGCAATGCTTCAGAGGAGTAAGAAAGGGAACACCAGGGGCACTTCAGATCTGCATCCAGCCTCGCTACCTGAGAGAGGAAGAGCCACTGAAAGCTCCCGAGCCCCAGACGTCTGGGCGTGACGGGAACCAGCCCCTGGGACAACGCCTGCGTGGAGGCCATGAGGCCAGAAACAAGAGTGACGGGTGCTTGTACCACGCAAGGGCCTCCGATCAGGCCTCCAGGGACGAGGCCAGGCCATCTGGTGATGCTCCAGTTACCCAGGGCAGCAAAGTCCGTTATCATTAAAGAAAGGGGTGGGAGGTGAGGAGGAGGAGGAGAGAAGGAGGGAGGGTGGAAATGGAGGTTCAGTGAGTCTGGAGTGGGGCTGGGAGCCGGAATTTTGCCAGTCGCCCTGGTGATTCAGAGCACAGCCCTGCACAGGGCGTGCAGGCAGGGGGCTGCAAGAACAAGTTGTCATTAACCAGAACACAAACACAGAACAGAACTGTGGCCAAAAAATTTAAGACTATGGGGGAAAGGAGTTGTTCTGTCATTGCCCTGCAGTGCCACAGCCTGTGCACTGACTGGACCCTAACCAAGGAGCTGCATGAGAAGAGGGCAAGCCCCAGGCCTCTTTGTCACCCTGGCACACCCAGACATCTCTAGCACCTCCAGGAAAAGCTCCATCCTCGCCTGAAAGGAGAACCCCAGGAAGAGGGAAAGAGCCCAGAAATCCTCGTCCCTGCTCCCAGCAAGGACAGCTCTGACACAGCCCTGTGGCAGCACTCAGGGCGCAGAATGAAAAGTCCACACCATTTTGCTGGGCACGGTGGCTCATGCTTGTAATCCTAACACTCTGGGAGACTGAGGCAGGTGGATCGTTTGAGCTCAGGAGTTCCAGACCAGCCTGAGCAAGAGCGAGACCCCATCTCTATCAAAAATAGAAAGAAATTACTTGGACAGCCATATATATGTGTGTGTGTGTGTGTGTATAAATTAGCCAGGCATGGTAGCACAAACCTATAGTCCCAGCTACTCGGGAGGCTGAGGCAGTAGAATTGCTTGAGTCCAGGAGTTTGAGGTTGCTGTGAGCTAGGCTGATGCCACGGCACTCTAGCCCGGGCAACAGAGTGAAACTCTGTCTCAAAAAAAGAAAAGAAAAGTCCACACCACAAAGAAAGGTCAGCAGCTGTGACCTTCCTAGCAGTGTCAGAAGAACAGCACAGCTGAATTAAGGAGTGATGGTGCAGGTGCCTGCATTTTCTAGGGAACTAATGAGCACCCGGGAGGGGACAGCCTGAGGCAAAGCCAGGGGCATCCACCTTTCCAGCCAGCAATCCCCAGGACGGCCCGAGAGCTCCAGCTGCGGGGCAGGGGCAGGGTGGCTTCAGAGACTACTGTCGCAGGCGCAGCACGGGCTGCAGCCCCCAGCCAGCTTGCGCCCACCCCAGCACTCCCCCATCTGTTCAAACGTGCATAGCTGGACCTCAGGGGGTCCAAGCGCGGGGCTGGGACAGAGCTGCCCGATCACCAGGACGTCTCGTCTCACACCGAGACGCTGCACAGCGGCAGCACACGTGCACTGAGCAAAAGTGCACGCTGAAGCTTCAGGTGCACGAGCACAGCGACCGCACGTGCCTCACAGTCAATCTGCAGGTTCCAGTGACGGGGAAGGGGGCAGGAGAGAGAAGTAGACACGTGTGTCTTTTTCCCGGTTCTGCCACATGTCAGCTCCACACCCTTAAACACCAGGGGCATAACTGCATTTGGCCAGCTTCCTCATCCGCTCAGAAACGGGGGCAACAAAACCTGTCTGACAACTGAGGCATCAGAATGGGACCGGCCCTGCAGCCAACTCGCCCGCCTCCCTTGTCCCGGGCTCAGTCCACTGTGGCCGGGAGGCGCAGGGCCCCAGCCTGCCCGCTTGGCTCCGGATGGATCCGCAGTGCGCGGCTGCTGAAGAGCCACACAGACACCACTGCGCCACGACGGAGACACAGGAGACGCCGTGAGGTGACGGGGACACCGTGAGACGGGGCCGGGGACGCTAGGAGATGAGGGGCGTGGGGACACAGGAAACGCTGTGCGATGGGGAGACTAACGCCACTGCAACTGTCTGCATGTCAGCTGCACCATTTCACTGCACACCCAGGGCACGCATATCTGTTCAACTTCTGTGTGATCTGCACATTAAAGAGAAGCACTAAAGAGTTCTGGGGCCGGGCACAGTGGCACATGCCTGTAATCCCAGCACTTCGGGAGGCCGAGGAGGGAGGACTGCTCCAGGCCAGGAGTTCAAGACCAGCCTGGGCAACACAGTGAGACCCCCTTCTGTAGAGAAAAATGTAAGCAATGAAAAACACATGAAGAGTTCTGTTAATTTCCTAAACAAGCATTTGATGAAGGAATGGATGAATGAATATCTCAAAATTGTCACATGCCTCTCCCAGAAAGACAAAACCAGTATGTCAAAAACACATTCTCACACCTATCACATGGATTCACAGTAGGTAAGTGTGGAAATAGGAAGTCATGAGACTTATCCTTTAATTCAGTCACGACTCGGAAAAATATAACTGCAGCCAGAGGCTACGAGCCTGAACTGGCAGGTTAACAAGCAGGTTTGTAAGGAACGAGAGGGCAGAGAAATGGCAGCTCTGCAGGCAAAGCGCTCAAGTCTCCCTGGCAGAGGGAGGGAGTGGAAGAGGCTACCAAACATTTACACACTTGTCCCCCTAGAATTTAAATCAAATATATAGATTTCTTTTTACCATCGGAAAGTTAAGTTTCTGCATAAGATCACTAAGAAGGACAAAAATCTCTCATTTAATATGAAGACATTTCTGTCACCAGGTCCAAGGACTGACAACTTGCATGACAGAAATCAGAGCCACAGTCCTCCCTTCCTCGAGGTTTCGCTTCCCGGGGTCTCAGTTACCCATGGTCAAATGCAGTCCAAAAATACTAAATTGAAAATTCTGGAAATAAACCATTCTTAAGTTTTAAACTGCATGCCTGAGGAGCGTGATGACACCTTGAGCCAGGGACGGGAGTCACCCTTGTCCTGTGGATCCAGGCTATAAAAGCTGCTCGCCCGGGAGTCGGCGACATTGCCTGTTCCCGACATCACCACGCTTGATGATCGAGATCGCCCGGAGCAGACAACCTTCCTTCCACCCTGGGCAGGTCGACAGCCGCCCAAGAGCACGTCTCAGTGCCTGCGTCACTCACCCCACCCCACCACACGGGCACTGGAGAACCTCGTGTTACCGCCAGGAGAAGACTGTATATCTTACATATGTCAGTATATTAACATGTACAATTAAGATATTTTGAGAGACAAAGAAAGAGTCCACCATTCACGTAATTTTCATTACAGTATATTGTTATATATATATCTGTTCTATTTTATTAGCAGTTATGGTTAATCTCTTCCTATGCCTAATTTATAAATTAAACTTTATCATAGCTATATATGTATAGAAAAAACACAGCATATGCAGGATTCAGTACTATCCGACGTTTCAGGCATCCGCTGGTGGTCTTGGCATGTACCTGTGCAGATGGGGGGGGGCTACTGTATTCCCACCACCCAAAGATAATGTTGGCTCAAATATAACAGCAAAAGCAAAACAAAACTGCAAAAGTAATGCTCCACAGAATACATTTTAAGTTATTAAACTCGATCATTATATACAGTCAGATAATATTCTTTGATTTGAAAGATACGTTTAAATCCAATGAAAGTTTCTGTTTTGTTTGTGTGGCATTAATCTTTGTTCTCAAACGTTGCTTGAAAAATCAAGAGCAAAATGGTTATAAAACTAAGAATAGGCTTAGTAATTAACATGTATACATTTGTCAAAAATAGTTACCTGATTATCATATTTAAGAGACTGCGTCCCAACCAAAAACCGAATGGCATCTGTTTCGGCAGTTTGAGGTGTTAAAGCACGTGCCTGCAGGAGGAAAGGAAAAGGCATACACATTTATGAAGTTAGATTTAATAGAGATTAAAGAGGCGGTTTGTTCATCTACTGTTGATAAAGCACAAATTAGTACACTGACTGGAAGGCAATTTAGAGACATGTATTAAAAGCCATAAATTTTTGTATACTTTTAACACAACAGTTTTACTTCAAATTTATATATGGAAATAATTATAAATAGGCACAAAATTTAAGCAACAAGATGTAAATGATTTAAACAGCAATAGTTAAATTATTTTTTTAACAAAACCATTATTTTAACAGTAATAGACTGGTTAAAGAAATTATACTTCAAAAATACAGTAGAAAATAACTTCCAGCAATAGCAAAGTAGGGGGTTTAAACCAATTCTTCTGCAGAGAACAACTGGAAAAACTACACAAAATACTGTGCATCTGTCTCAAGGCCTCAGAGAACTACCAAGGCAACAAAGAAATGCCAAGATCCAGGAAAGGAGAAAAGCCTAGAGAGGAAGCCCAAAATCTGGCCACTTTTCACCTAGAGGTATTTGTCAACTTGGAAACTGCAACTAAAAGGCTGACGCTGAGGAGCTTTGGCAGACTCTCGGATCTTTGGGCACAAAAGCCAAAGTATAGGGCTCATAGAACGCTCGGCTAATCCCACAGGCTTACAGCCCAGGGGGAGGTGAACTAGAACTACATCAGCCTGCACAGGCTACAGCTCCAAATCATCTCAGTCCTCCATGGGATTTAAAGTGATCCAAGAAAATGGGAGGGGGAGACAATCAACCAATCAATCAGTCTCGAGCAGTCCAGTGTTCCTAGGCCAGCAGTCTCCTGCCAGAAGAAGTAAGTCCTCCAGAGGAAGGTGACATCCCAAGTTTCTGAAGTCTTGTACATACAGTGTCTAATGTTTAATCAAAAACAGCCAGTCATACAGTAAGACAAAACCATATGCTCAAAAACAAAAAGAAACAACCAACAAAACAACCAATAAAAAAGACCTGCAGAGGATTCAAATAATCAGGTGCCCTGGAAAACAAGCTCTAAGTTAATCCTTTCTCTACTATAAATAGAAAGAAATTAATTGGCCAACTGATATATATATAAAAAAAAAATTAGCCGGGCATGGTGGCGCATGCCTGTAGTCCGAACCAGCCTGAGCAAGAGCGAGACCCGTCTCTACTATAAATAGAAAGAAAACTAATTGGCCCAACTGATATATATATAAAAAATTAGCCGGGCATGGTGATCGCTTGAGCCCAGGAGTTTGAGGTTGCTGTGAGCTAGGCTGACGCCATGGCACTCACTCTAGCCTGGCCAACAAAGCGAGACTCTGTGCCCTGGAAAACAAGCTCTAAGTTAAAAAAAAAAAAAAAGTATTTGTTCGGACGGGCGTGGTGGCTCACACCTGTCATCCTAGCTCTCTGGGAGGCCGAGGAGGGCTGATTGCTCGAGGTCAGGAGTTCAAAACCAGCCTGAGCAAGAGCGAGACCCCCATCTCTACTATAAATAGAAAGAAATTAATTGGCCAACTAATATATATACAAAAAGTTAGCTGGGCATGGTGGTGCATGCCTGTAGTTCCAGCTATTCGGGAGGCTGAGACAGTAGGATTGCTTGAGCCCAGGAGATTGAGATTGCTGTGAGCTAGGCTGATGCCACGGCACTCACTCTAGCCTGGGCACGAAAGTGAGACTCTGTCTCAAAAAAAAAAAAAAAAAAAAAAAAAAAGGATTTGTTCTGTAAAATTTGGATTCAATCAGAAGGCCACACTGAAGGTTCCAGAAGGCCACATGTGGCCCCAAGGCCACAGGTTCCCCACTTCTGCAAGCTCTAAGATGTGAGTGGAGGAGAGTTCCCAGCGAGTGCTCTTGGGAGCTATTCCACACGAGGGTGAAGGGAGTGGGGTGAGGCAGAGGGAGAGGTTAGACCGCACTGCACCTGCAACCCCTGCCAGCCCACCGGGGCTCTGCAGCTGGACAGCCCTTCAGAGCTGAGCCCACACCGGGCCTCTCACCCACAGAACTGTAAAATAACAAAGGTATATTATTTGGAGGCACTAAGTTTGCAGTGACCTGTTACGGCTGCCTGTCCCCATGCGGACCTAGAAACACACCTGTTTCTTCAGCCATCTCATCAATTCCCACATTTTGTCCTCCCAAAATCTCTTGATTCACTAATTTCCAAACAAGGTAAGAGAAACCGTTAAAGAGTTGTCCCGACTGCTTGGTCTATCTAGTTTTGACTTGGTTTCCACAGCTAGGGCAAAACAATCAGATCTCTTGGGTGTCCACTGTGAAAACGTTCAGGGATAGCAATTTCATGAACTAGTCTTAGAAAACATAACCACATTATGTATGCTCCCACCCTTCCCCAAATAGTCAGCAGCGCAGAAACATCAACCACTAAAATACATTTCAATAAAACCAAGAAAATGTATGTCTAGAGCAATATTCACATTTATTGGACATTTAAAGGGAAAAAAACCTTTTTGAGCCAATTCAACTATTCAAAGCAGCTTTAAGGTTCCCATTGTCAGTATCCCTCTACCCTCTTCTGCAACTCGGCTGGACAATTTTTGGAGCCTTAGATCTCTTTGTGAAACTATGAATTCTTTGTGAACCTAGAGGCTTTCTGCCAAAAACGTGCATACATAATACATAAAACTGTGTATATAGTGTCAGCAAGTTCACGAAGGCGCGGAACTCCATCCGCTGGAAGCACCTCCGGCTCACAGAGAGGGGATGTGCGCAGGGTGCACGCCACTCCCCAGACACGGAGCCCCTCCCGAGACACGGGGCCACTCCTGAGACACGGAGCCCCTCCCGAGACACGGGGCCACTCCCGAGACACGGAGCCCCTCCCGAGACACGGGGCCACTCCCGAGACACGGGGCCCCTCCCGAGACACGGGGCCCCTCCCGAGACACGGAGCCCCTCCCGAGACACGGGGCCACTCCCGAGACACGGAGCCACTCCCGAGACTCTCCACATAGGACATCAAGACCTCCCAACGCAGGAACATGCTGTCACCCCAGGTAACAAAGGCCTGAAAGTCCCCCAAAATAGGACCCAGGAGAGGACCTATCCGAAAGGAAACGATACTTTACTCGGGACGGCTTGTCTGCGCTTCGAGGGAGGGAGCGCCCACCGTCGTAGGTGCTCTGTAGGCACCCAAGGGGCGGGAGGCGTCGTCTCTGCCCTCGGGAACCGCGGACTCCCGTGAGGAGAGAGGAGACAGAGCCTCAGAGAGAGGGAAAGACAAGATGAGATGTGATTAAGTATCAAAAGCGCAGGAACGGACCATAATAACAGCAAATTAGCATTTATCAATATGCACCCACAAGCGCAGCATTAGACACAAGGCAGGATTAAATGCCATCGCTGTAAAATAGAAGGGAAAAATAAGCAGATTGTATTAGTAGCTATTATATTGAATAAAGAGGGGCAATTCAAGAATGCAGAAGCTACTTGAGTGAAGATAATGAACCGGCATTCAATTTACTTCATTCTAAAGCAATTTGCGGAGCCAGGAACAGCATACCTGGAGAGGAATGACGGTAGGCACACAGGAAAAAAGCCTAAATAGATCATCTGTCTCAGAGAGCGTAAAGCTGCCACCGTTTTAGAAAAGCACTACAAATTTGGAACTATCTTGTTCGAGCTCACAAAAGAAAAGACACTTTTTTAAAAAATGGAAGAGGGAAATCATTCGTATAGACAAACCTAAAATGTATCTTTAAAAATCACATAAAAGTGAAATCTCATAAAAGTTTAATTCAAGAGCTTTCCAAAAATTACTTAATTCTGGCCCTTTGGGCGACAGATCTATAGACATCTCTCCATGTCTGTAATTCTGCTCCTTTGATTAAAGTAATGATAAAATGACCTCTAAGTCCGGCAGCATGATAGTTATATAGGTGTTCCAACGACCCTATCATAAGATCAAATTTTTATAGCATAATAGGTGACAAAGCAGTGCCACCTATTTTGTCTTGGTTCATCCGTAATTCAATGAGGTCGACAGGAAGACAGGATGGACAGCAGCAACGCCACTTCCTACATAAAAAATCTGAGGACCAGCGAGGTGCAGTGACGCAGCCTCTGTCACCTGTAGCTGCTGAGGAGGACGAACCCAGGGAACGCCCTTCCAGCTGCACTGAGCTCCTCGCCTCGTGAGGGCCTGGCCTCCGCTCTGGCCACCGGTGTCACCCAGTTGCCAGATCTCAGAGCCACCTCTGACTCCCACCCCACCCAAGCCCCGACACGTCCTACCAGGGGCCCTCCCGTCAGCTCCCACCCCTTCCCCTTCGCACCCTGCATTGCTGCCCCAGGCTGCAGGCCAACCTCTCTCAGTCCACACCCTCCTCCTAGGCGTGCTCACTCTCCCCTACGTATGATCGTCATTAACAGGCTGATGATTTCCCAAAGGGACTCTCATGGCCAGACCCTCGCTAAGCCACTGTGAGCCAGCTCTGAGCTGGGTGCCCACAGGCACCCCCACAGCAGCCCAGCCACGCAGCCTTGCAGGCCTCCCCAGACCTCCCGATGCACCCCCACCTCCGGTCCTCCCCTGCCACCCCTATCCCTGAGGGTCCTCATTCCCTTGGGTCCCTTTCCAGTCCCCCACCACCTCCCTCATGCCCTGCTTAACATCTTAACAACCTCGTAACCAGTTTTCCTGACACAAATTCATCCTCAACCTTGCTACAAAGCCACTTTACCAAATCAAAGGCTGGACCTTAGGTTTGCAAACAATGGGCTAAAGACTCCTTTTCTCTCCTCTCAAACTGGGAAATCACACAAAAGCGAGGAGGAGAATGAAAAACAGAAGTGTAAACTCTGTCTGCAGTGAAACTTGGAATCATCCATGACGCAAAAGCACAGCATCTTAAGACAGACAGCAGGGGCCACGAAGGTCAGAAACAAGAGAAGACACTGGAGGCAGCACGTCCCAGACCAGCCCCGGGAGCAGCTCTGTCGACTGACCTTAAGGGGCAAGGCCAAA